TCGAGGTGCAGAGGGTGGAGGATAGCAGAATCAACATAAATAAATCGGTGAAGGATGTGTGCAGGATGAAAGCTGTACCTTCCTGCTAGAGTGGTATATTTTAGCTGTTATAGTGAGCTAGAGGCATTTTGTTTAAAAGAAGGCTTATGTTTTGTTGTAGATATTTTAAAAACGTCCACCTTCAATTCCCATTACCCTCTTGTAAACATTTACAAATAGTTAGCCCATTGCCCTCTGGGTATACTTTATGTTTTATAACACAATTTTAATTTATATTGGAATACACAGCCTAAAATAACTGAAAAAAATTCTATTTGAGTTTCACAATATCTTAGTTTACTCATTATTTCCCTATTAAATAAAGAAGAAAACTAAGATGCAGAGAGGTTAAGTGACTTCATCAAGCTAATAAAGGATGCTGGGAGATAATTCCAGATCTTTTGATGCCAAATCCCACTTTTATTTAGTCCCAAGTGGTTTTGAAACTGTATTCTATTATGTCCAAGAATTCTTAAAAGTTCTATTCATTTAAAAAACTTAATTTGAAAGTATATTAAGAGTAAATATTCTTTCAAGTGCATTAAGTATCAAGTATTTAGTGCATAGTCTAATACTCTGCTTCCAAATTAACTTGTTTCTGGATGGATCCAGAAAAAAAGAACTGCTGCCTTTATCTCTTTTCATGTTTGTGGCAGCTTACAAATGTGCTACTGATGAGGAAGTATGTCATTCTGCACTGATCTTTTAAAGTATTTGGTCTTGCACATGTTTGCTCATGGTAAATTGTACAAGTGAGGACACTGCTGCAAAGTACAAGTGTGTGTGTGCTCAACATGGGCCTCCATAGCTGCTGCATATGACTCATGAGCCAAAAACATGCCATGGGTAGTAATGCCATGTTATGTGTAGTTTAGCAGTTGTGAATAATCAGAAGCTCTATGTCTGATTTTTCTATTTATGATAAATCATTTTGGGGTTTATCTTCAAAATAAAAATTTACAACTCCTTCTCTTTCAATTTCCTGCATCAGTTTAATTTGGGATTGTGTTGAGATTGCCAGGAAGCTGTAAGAAACATTAATACCTCTGTGAATCAGGAGTTTTGTCTCTGCTGAGCAACTAAAACAAAATACAGAAATAAATTAGATGCTGAGGCTGTTTTAGAATGAAGTATCTTTTTAATATTATTCATAACATTAGTTAATGAGAAAAGGCTCATTTCTTTTATTTTATAGTAATACCACTTTGAATGTGTTTTATGCAGTAGATTTCCTTATAGTGTTTAGATTTCATTTTCAAAAAGAATCATGCTATAGAATCATGGTTCAAATCCTCTGTGCCTTACCATATTGTTCTACTTTGTGTGTGTATGCGTGCGTGCGTGTGTGTGTGTGTGTGTGTGTGTGTGTGTGTATGTGAAGGAGTACTGGGGATTGGACCCAGACCCTTGTGGGCAAGCACTCTAACATTGAGCAATACCCCCAAGCCCACTGTCATGTTTATGTTTTTCACATTTCTGAAGATTTTTATAAATAGATTGGATGTTTAATGAATTTGGTTTGCCTTTGTTACATATATTTTGGAGGTCTAGCAACCTTGAAATATTGAAAATGTTTAGAAAGAATAACCAGTTTTTTCTTGTGAGGTTCTCTAAATTGTGCTGTGAATCATTTCCAAATACAGACTAATAAAAGAAAGCTTATTTCCTTTTGCTGTGGTCCCTTTGAATAATGAACAGCTATTTTACAGCTTTTAAAGTCTTTCCTGGGAATAACAGGCATTTCAGTTAAAAATAATTTTATGAAGTTCCTTATTTATTTTGGGAGGAAATTGGCCCAAAAGGCTAAAAGGATATAATTTTGTCAAGTAACAACTAATGGCAGGGTAATACTGGGGAAGGAAAATTGAGTAAGACCTGGTCCTTCTCCTTGAATTTATAGTCTAGTCAGAAAGATTAACAAGTGAGTTGAACCTTACATTGTAATCTGGTAAATGCTATAACAGAGGAACCTGTTCTAATTTTGCTTGGTGATGGCATTTGGAAAAAGAGGTGATATTTGAAGGATGTCTTGGAAGCTAGCATGTGTTTGCTACAGCCATATCGCTTCCATCTAAAAAAATGATGCAAATAAAAGCTTGGAGCCCTTAAGGTACTCGATCGATAGTTGGGAGATTGGAAATAGAGTTCACTGACTAGAGAGTAGAGTATGTGAAAAAGTAGAGGGTGTTTTTAGCTTGGTGAAGCAGTAGCAGGAGATGAATCTGTGGTGATAAAATTGGTCTACATTGTAAGGGCCACATATGCCTGTTGAAAAGTTTAGACTTATGTGCATATTGAGTGCCACAGCCAGGACAGACTTACATTCCAAACAATGTATGCACATATGAATAAATGAATAAAAAAAATTCCAGAAAGAAAACATTGGAAGATAGCTTGGCAAGACAGACACTGACTCATTCAGTCAGTAAACACCTGTTGAGCATCTACTGTGTAAAAGTAACTGTTCTAGGCACTTGAGATATAACAGTGAAAAAGACAAAGCCTTAGTGGGGCTCACCACTTCCTGTGTAATGAAGCAGATAATATACCAAGAAACGTAGTAAACAGATCGATCAGACATTTGGAGGTAATAAATGCTAAGAAAGAAGAATAGACTAGGGTGGTTTGGGAATGCCAGGTAGGGAATGGCTGGAATTTAAGCCAAGTGGCAAGGTGTCCAGTTCAGAAGCTGGTAGTAATCCAAATAAGTGTTGAGGACTAGTCTAGAGGTGGGACTTTAAAATGAAGAAAATGAACAGATTGGGAGATATATTTCTTTTTTTCTTTTTTGAAACATTTTACTGTAAAATAAATACAAGCTGTACAAGTCTGTGCATTGGCCTTTCTTTCTTTCATTCTTCCATTTTTTTTTTTGTACTACCGGGGCTTGAATGCAGAGTCTCATGCCTATTAGGCAAGTTGTCTACCACTTGAGCCACACCCTCAGTCCATATATGTATTATTTTAAGGTGATGACTTTGTAACAACCACCCTGTAAAGGAGTGACTCTTTGGCACACCAGAAACCCCTCTATTTGCCCTGTTCCCATCACAAACCCCTCCCTCTCTTGACAACCTGATATTTATGGTAATCACCTTCCTAAATTCTCAATAATTTTATTAACCAACCACATATCTCTTGGTATGGCTTAGTCTTGTCAATTAAAAATTTTTGGATGTCTTTTAAGTCTTTTTGAATATTTAGTTTTTCTCCCTTTCTTTTTTCTTTCTAATTTATCAGCTGAAGAACTGGGAAATTAGATATTAGAATTTCCCATGAATTTTTCTGTTTGTAAACTCAGGGTACAGTTCAACATATTCTTCTGTCTTTTGTATATCTTGTCAACTGGCAGCTGAACCCCAGGCTTCACCAGACTCAGGTGTCATCCTTTTGTAGAATGTTCTTTCATTGAAAAGCACATACTGTCTGGTTATTTCTTTTGCAATGTTAATAGCTGTTTTTGCTCAATGCCTAGAATTAGCAATTCATTGGGGTTGCAAATTTGTGATATTCTAATTATATCTGTTATATTTTTATAAGGAAATACTTCCCTTCATTTACTATTTGGTTATCCAGTTATACACTTCTTAGAGCAAGACAGACTAAATGCTTTTTCTTGTATTTATGGTTCTCATGATAAGAGTTAGTTACCTATCATCCACAATTTGGATTACTCTGACAGCATTTTCTCCTCAGTGTGACTTTGTCAGAAAAGGGGGAGCTGATTGGTCAGTTTTAAGAATTTGTAGCTGCCAAACTGCTCCAGTCTCTCCATACCTTACCGGCGATGTATTGAATTAGGCAAAGCTCCTCCCGGCTTTAGCTCCTGTTCTACAGTTGGCTCGTCATGTGTTCAGAGCAGAATTGCTTGCTTTTGGGGGGGCTCTTTTGTTTTCACATTCATCAGGTATCCCATACCTTCCCTCCACTTTCTTCCTTTACAGATAAAATACTGTATATGTCTTGTGACTGTTGGTTTGTGGAAGATATATTATTACCTAGTTTTATTGTAAATGTTTCCTTAGGATTTTGGTTTTGCTGTCTAGTTACTTGGTCTGTTTTTATGTGGAAATCAGGGAGATTTTCTTTAAAAAGCCCATCTTCCCAGAAAGAGTTTGAGTCCATCTTCCCAGAAAGAGGTTGAGTCACAGTACTGAGAGTAACTCAGAAATTTCTGACTTGGAAGTTCTGGTGGGTGGTAATTTCATTGATAAAGATTTAAAAATGAAGAAAAGGAGTGTTAGTAAGTGGAAAATAAGAGCAATTTTTGATCTTAGTTTTGAAGTGCTTATGAAATACCTTACAAATGTGTTCTTAAGAGCAGTGCTTCTACAACTTGATAGAGCTAAGTGAGGAAACGTTTATACTTGAGAGTAATCAAGACCATTACCCATAGGAAAATAGGTTATTAGTGGTAAAAACTGCAGTGTAAAAAACCCACAAAATCTAGAGTATACATTTGAAAATGAAAGAGACATTAAAAATAAACATGCATAAGCTAGTAATGTTATGCACTTTTCATAAATGTGCACACAACTGTGTCTTCCCAAAGAGGAAGACCCTGTTCAAAGACCCACTTACACAGCTGCCCCTGGTGTTTGTTCATGAGGTGTCAATGCCGCGTATGCTGGGTCGAATAGGAACAGAATGAGTCTATTAGATTAGAAGTGTTTCCTGCTCGAGGCCCTAGAAAAAGTTCAGTATTCATAAGCTTGCAAGTGTTTATATTTTGAGTAGGCTGTAGTGTACTATCATGGATCCTCTATTTTAAAAGTAGAAAATCTTTTCTCAGGTACCATAAATTTCAAAGAGATTTTTTCAAATTGTACTCACATTTGGATGTACCTTTTTAAAATATTTATTAGGAGACAAGGGTGGGGAAGGGAAAATTTTTTTAAATTAGCATTATTTAATAGACCAAATGATTCACTTTTGATCTCTTTTCTTTTTCAAAAAACTAGGCCAGTCTTCAAAGACCTGAAATTAAACTTGAATCACTAAAAGAAGATATTAAGGAATTCTTCAAAATATCAGGTTTGTACCCCCCCTAATTCTTTAAGTATCCCTAGCCTTCAAATTACTTTGAAATTGTGAAAAACTCTAGCTGAATAAGTTTCTGTTTGGGGAGAATAAGAGCTATCATACATTTCAATAAAATGGTGCAAAAATTTAAAAACATCGTAGGAATGAGTGCTTTGCAATAATCAGCTTTAAATGCTGTTTATTTTTCTGGTCAAAATATGTCCCACATGTGGCAAGCATATACTTAGTTAAGTAACTTGTCTTTTTAGTTTTCAGGTGTGGCTTTTTTTCTTTATGCCTTATTTTTCTGTCTCTTTTCTGTTCTTTCAAAGGAAATAAAAAGAAAATCTTGGGTTTTTTGTAGAACAAAATGAAAGTTTTCTTATTCCAATTCCTGGACCTGAGATATTAAGTGGAAGTAACTAATAGTAATCTGCTTCTGTTGTCTAGGAGTTTACTGACTACTAATTATAACTAGTTATCAGTACCACATTGTTTCTTGCCCTTTCTCTTGGCACACTTGTCATAACAATAGTAGTAAACCATCCAAAGATCCTGACATTCCCTGAGCACTTTAATAGTGGAAGAGGAAAACATTCCTCTCCACTTAAGAAAATAGTGCAGTAGTTTTATTTAAAGATAGTATCATGTTAGTGACTTTGTATCTCAGTATTAACCCAGAATTCTGGTATTTGTATAGGAAATAATGCCTTAATACCACTTTGTAGAGTATTTGGTAGTTAACAAAGTTCTTTCACAAATGAATATGATGCCAAAAATTTAGTGAGCTAAATTTCATTATGATATATGTTTACTGCAAAATAATATGTTCATCTATACTTTTTTTTCCTCTTAAAAACAGGCTGGGAGAAGAAACTTCAGAATGCAGTTTATAGTGAACTGAGTGTGTGAGTTTTTTCCATCTGTTTTTGAGATCCTACTTTGCTTAGCTATGTTTACTTTGTAAGAAATAAAATCAGAATTGCTGTGTATTTTCATTGCCTTATTATTTCTCATTAGTTATGTAGCATTTTAAATAACTTAATGAAATTTAAAATTACTAGTCTTGCCTGAGAATTAACAATGAATAGGTAGGTTTTTAATTACCCAAATTTTTATATTAATAATTAATTCACCCAGCATAATTAGAGAGTGAGGTATTTCTTTTAATATTTCAGATAATTGAAGCTTATAAGCATTCTTTTTATTCTTGTGGTTTTGGACATTAAACTTTTTTCTATCTTTATAAACTAACCGTTCTAAACATAATTACCTTTTTTTCTATATGAATTTGGTGTCATTACTAAGAACCTCAATGTTTTGTTTATCTAGATTAACTGTCAAGGTCTATGTAAGATGTATAGAACTATTTGCCATTACAAAGAATGCAGTTCAAGAATATTAGCTTTCATGTTTATTAACACTCCATTATGCACCACTTATTTATTGGGTGTCTCTCATGTGCCAGTACTTTGCTAGGCACTGGAATATAGTATAGAAAAATAAACAGAATTCCTGCCCTCATGCTGCTGGCTCATGTTGGACCAGGGATTCGTGAGAATTTAGTTTGTGATTATTGGAACATGGTTGCATTGCTCTAACCTTATGAATAATTTTAACTTGACTTATGTAATGAGAGAGATTACAGAACCATTGTGTTTTCCTGTTGCCTTTTCTAGCTGTGATTTCATGCCAGTCTGCACTTCGGTCACTATGTCCCAATTATTCTGGGTTTTCCTGCTCTTTAAACATCCCAAATATTCCTACCTCAGAGTGTTGTGCTTGCTGTCTCTCTGCCTGGAACATTCTTCCCCCAGATCTTTGCATGGTTTTCTTCTGCTCACTCATGTTTTAGTTAAAGCATCAGATCTCCAGAGAACTTCATTGCCTTCCAAATTACTTCTGTTTCACTATCCTATTTTCATTTTCTATGGCACTTATTACTATTGGATATTATTCTATATATTTGTTTGTTTTCATAATTATTGGCTGTCTTGCTTCACTAGGATGAGATAGGGGTTTATTTTATTTTATTTTTTTGGTACTAGGGTTTGAAATCGGGCATTGTGCTTGCAAGGCAAACACTCGACCACTTGAGTCACGTGTCACGCTTAGGGATATTGTCTTAATCACTATCATACGCTTGAGCTTAGAATGGCTCAAATATTATTTTCTTATTAAACTATATATTGATTATAAAATATAACGTTACTTAGAAAAACGGAAAGAATTCGTAATACATTTTAAAATTTTAAATTATGTTATATTTGTGAATTTATGTATTATATATTAAAACATGGTTCTTATCAGAAGTAGTACTTATAATTTATAACATAAAAAATATAATGTAGAAAAGGAAACTGGGAGAAATGAAATTAATTGATATATTGCCAAGATAATGGATTTTTTTAACCTTAAAAATTCCTCTGAATGTTATATTCCTAGGCTAAAAGCAAGTTATGATGATTTTCATGTGAACATTTATAGAGATTACCTCAATTTGTGAATTCAGCCTATAATGTAATTTAACTTTTAACATGTTATTAAATTTTAATCTAGAACTTCTGTACTATTATGAGCTGCTTGTGGTGGCACATGCCTGTAATCCTAGCACTTGTAACCTGAGCTACATAGTGAGACCCTGTCTCAAAACCAAAAAATATTACTATGATCAGAATTAAGTTTAGACCTGGCATCTGTATAAACATGTAGAACTGCTAACATATATTCTATTTCATCTATGACACAGATTATAGTGGTAAGTAAGAGGACTAATTATCAGGAATAATGTATAATATTTAGCTGCCTCTTTTTGCTTCTAGGTATCCTTTACCTAATCATCCTGCTGCACCTCCTGAGCATCTTAAAGAGCCTTTGGTATACATGAGAAAAGCACAGGTTGGCTGTTGTTCATTTTCATTTTATTTTTCTGTGTCAAGAAATGTAATGCAGAGTAAGATTCATATTGATGTTAGAAGTATATATTATTTATCATATGAAAGACTCTGTAAGAACCACTTAAGTAATTTTAATAATACTTGCATACGCTTCCTTTAACCAAGGATCATAACAACTTAACTATAGTAACAGTGAAAAACTGGATACAAGGGAAAGAAATCATGTACCACACTGACCTAAAACTTAAATAAAAGTATTATATGACAGTCTGTTCCTTTTGACCTGTGATATTAAAAGAATGAAATGTAAATGAGCTGACACTTTCCTTTACAATTTTGGCCTTTGTAGGCAGCATCACTGATACTGTATTTGAAATATATTTGTTCTCACAGCAGTCTGTTACGTACAAATGGGCTGGCAACAACTTAGAATCCCTTTAAAAGGATAAAATAAAATAATTTAGACAGAAAACCACAAGAAGCTGTTAAAATAGAAATTCAATAACTGTATCACATACTCCCAACTCTTGTAACTACTTTTCACCTGGGCATAGCCTTGTCTACCTTCTTTTGGCACAGCACTGTTCATGAGCCTTCCTCTCAGTGCTGGATAGGGCTCCGTGACTGCCACTGCTAAGGCACTTTGTGGGCATCACAGTCAGAGTGATTGAGCATTTACTCTCCAGCATGGGCTCAGAAACAAACTTTTAAAACTTTTCATTACGCAAAATTTCAAATATATCCTAAAGATCTTCCATGGATCCATCACTTAGCTTCAACAACGATCACATTTCTGCTGCTGTTGCAATTTTTCTGTTGTTTTGAGTTACTGGTTCTACAAAAGTACATTTTAAGCAGATTTTTATTTTCATTTAAAAAAAAACCTTCAAAATTAAATGGCGAGACAAAGCAATATAAATAAAAAACATGGAGATGTTTGAGGAAATATGTAATATATTTCTTTTTCTAGGTGGTTTCTCTGAGGGCAGTGTATTAGTTACTTTTGCATAGCTGTGACCAAAATACTTGACAGAAGCAAAATTTATTTTGCTCAAGGACATTGCATATTTAAACCATAACAGGCCTTATGGCATTTATTTATCAATTTGTCACAAAAGTATAACAGTTATATAATACATGTGTGAAAGACTTATGGCCTTTTGTTATAAAGATTGAAGCTCCAGAAAATAAAACTAAGAAGGTTAGGTCTAATGTTTTTTGGAAGTTTCCAAAAAGTATAGCAAAAGTATAGAGGAACGTATAGATAAAGTATACCTAGCATAGTAGATGTAAGAAAAAAAGCACAGATGTTGGTTTCCTATCATTACTGAAAGGAGAGAGAGATAAATGATAAGTTTTTTCTTAAAACCTACTGCTGGTTGCTGATGCTGTACGTGAATGCTGAGCGTGTGTGTTGTGTATCTGGACGGCACTCCTCTCATTCCTTTCCAGCTCACTCACTAGATCAGGGATTGGGAAATTATGGGCTAAAGCCAGCCTGCCACCTAGTTTTAGAGGGCTGGCAAGTTAAGAGTTTAAAAAAGTTTACCTGATTTAAAAAAATCAAAATAAGAATAATATTAAAAATATTACCCTATACACTAGCAGAGTAGCCAAAATTGAATTTGGACTGGCAGATGATAGTAAGATTATGGAGAATCTGAATTCTCATACTTGCTGGTGGGAATGTAAAATAGTATAATCACTTGTCTGATGGTTTCATATGAAAAAAGAATATGCATGTCCTATAACCCACAAATCCCAACCCTAGGTATTTGTTCAAGATATTGAAAAACCAGTGTCCATGAAAGGACTTGTACAAGAATGTTCAAGTTCAGCTTTATTGATATGAGCCCCAACCAGGAAATATCCCAGCAGTCTGTCAGTTGGAAAATAAATAACAAACCGTGTCCTTCCCACAATGGATTCCTAGCAAGTATAGAAGTAAAGAAATTCAGAAATAAAGAAAAACTATTGATATACACCATACCATGAATAAATCCAAAACATTATATTGAGTAAAAGAAACTTTACACGCAGAGTATATATTATTAAAATTACATGAAGTTCTGGAATGGGGAAATTAAAGTATAACTGTTTCAGATCAGTGCCTCTGAGAGTTTGAAGGTGGAGATTTACTGGAAGAAGCATGTAGGAATTTGCTGTGAGTGATAGTCATGTTTGGTGTCTTGATAATGGTTTAAGCTAGACCTCATGGAATGGAACACTTAGATTTGTGCATTTTGTTTTGTGTAAATTTCACTTCAAAAAAGCAAGAAAATTCAACCAAAAATCTACTGAACTTTAGTTATTGATGCATGTGTGTTTGAAAATTTTTGTAATAAGCTGTAGGGGGAAAGAAATAATAAGCAAATAAATGAAATACAAAAATATCTTGGCACAGGAAAATTACAGGAATTAATAAAATCTAGTTTGTTGGAAAATAGTCATGCTCATTCATTTACATATTGTCTATGGCTGTTTTTGCTCTATGATGGAGTTAAGTAGTTGTAGTAGAAACCTTGTGACCTGCAAATCCTAAAAATATTTACTACCTGCCCTTTTACAGAAGGTTTTCCAACCCCAGCACTAAATTATTCATTTTTTAAGAACAACAACTGTGCTTTTTACCCTCAGCATCTAGCAAGTTCCCACCCACAGAACACTCTGAATAGATGATTGTTGAACTCTTTCCTTAACCATGGTCATACAAATTACTTCTTTGTGTTAGTCATGTTTTGTGCCTGTGACAAATGCCCAAGAGAAATCTTAAAAGGAGAAGAGTTTTATTTTGCCTCATACTTTCAGAGGTTTCAGTCCATATCAGCCAGCTCCATTGTTTCTACGCTACAGCAATGTAGAACACCATGGCAGAAGATGTGGAAAAGTAGGTTTGCTCATTTCACAGTGGACAGGAAGCAGAGAGAGGGACAAGACAGGGAGCAAGACATATGTTTCCAGTGACCTACTTTCTCTACTGAGCCATGCCTCCCAATAATGTCATCAAATTATGAGTCCATCAAAGGATTAATCCTTTAATTGGGTCAGAGCCCATCACTTCTCAAAAGCCCATCAGTTGGCAAGGGAAGTACATAATACATGAGTCTGCGGGGGGATATTTCCTGAATAAACCATAATAGCCCTCTACCAGTTAGTGTCTGCTTATCTCCCTGTTTGTTCTCCATGGAACATCATGTTATTTTGCTCTCTTTTCTCTTGGGCAGTTCCCTCCCCATTACATGAAAGCTACTTAGTATCTTAAGACAAGGGTGCCATTCTATCACATTCTGTATTACTTCATAATCTCTTACTCCTTCAGACTTTCTACTTTTTCTCCTCCAGAACTTTTGACTACTTTTGGGGGGAAAAAATCACAAATTTCTATGTTAATCATTAGTCTAAATTCACTTATTTAACTTTCAGTGGATTATTTTTGCTGTCCACTAGTGCTTTTTAAAAATTCTTTATTTAATATTTGCTTTCTATTTAGATTGTTTCAAGACTTTTCCATGTTTTCCCAATTCTACCCCTGTCTCACTCATTTTTAATATTGGTCAGTTTATTAAGAATATTCAGATTGTCTTAATTCAAGCTTCCACAGCTTCCCTCTTCTTTGACACCACATCTATTTTTGATCTGGTCCTCTATGATCAGCTGTCTATGGAACATTTTTTCTGTGAGATCAAACTCAGTATACCTAAAACTGAGCTTACTGTACTTTTCTTAATATGAGCATCTCTTCCTGACCTTCTGATTGCTGTTAATACATCATTATTATAGTAATTTAGACTTTAATATCTTTTATCTCAGTTTTCTGTGTCCAAATAGTTACTTCATTCTATAAATGATTTTTGCTTGTAGTCTTACAGCTTTCTCTCTCTTTTCATTACCAAGGCTGTTACCATGATGTTGATGCATACGATGATGAGAATGCTTTTCCATTGTGTTTTAATTTACATCTTTGTCTTAGTATACTTACCAACTTTCGATCTCTCTCTTCCCCCTCAGCCTTACGTACTCTCAAAGGCAGATGAACACTTGCATTGTATCCTACTACCTTTTAATAAACCTTCAGTGACTTCCAGTTGCCTAACAAATGAAATCCCTACACCAAAGCTCAACATTTAAACATTTTTACTATCTGTCCCCACCTTTTCCTGCCATATTATAAATCTCTGCCATCTTCTAAATGCCCTGTGTGGCCATCCAAATGAGTCATTTTGTCTTTCCCGCCTGCATCGGTAACACTTTGTTTTTTGTTTTCCTGTCTGGAAAGCCCTTTCTGCTTACTTTGCATTATGGAAGTCCCATCTGTTTTGTAAGGATCAGCTCAGACAGCATCTCTTCTCTGATGTTGTCAATACCCCTGTTGGAAGAGTTCTCTCCTTTTGAACTTTTACAGCTGTCTAGCATTTTATAGCCCTTATCACAAATTGCATTCTGTTACAGTAATTTCTGTATACTTCTTTCTGACTTGTTATATGCTTCTTCAAAGAATTAAGAATTTGAAAACGTTTTGTATACTTGTCACATCTTCACTTATAGTACACTGGCCTTTATATAGTAAGAACTTAGTAAATTTATATTGGATTGTTAGTACAAGAGTTTGCCATCTCTTCTTCCAATTTTAATATGTATTGATAAACACTTACTGAATACCTACTGAGTAGAATACACCATGCTGTGGAGATTCCAGAATAAATTAGATACAGATTCTGCCTTTAGGTAACTACATGCTTAGTAATTGAAATAAGATTTGGACACCAGTAGCTGAAATACCAGGTGGAAAGCGCTGATAAAAGATAGAAACCAGGAAATTTTGTATGAGCACTGAGAAGGACAGGGTACAGGTAACTTCTTAATGGGTTGTTCTTTGTTCTTCATAATAAAAAAGAACTTTAAAAAATTCAGTTAATATTTCTTTTCTTCTTTTTTTTGATCCAGTGAACTATGGGCAGGAAATATTTTAGAGCTGTATCCTGAAAAAAACTCATCTTTTTA